ACATAAGCGCCGGGGGCGCCGCGCCTCCGCCGGCCGCTGGGGCTGGGCTGACACGGGCGAGACGCACGCGTCCCGAGCCCCGCCGCTCTCGGGGTTTGTTTGCTCGCTTTCCCAAGGTCATCGTAAACACTTCCATTGACAGTTTACTTAGTGCCGTGTAGGTAAAACAAGCCACTTGATTTTAAATTACAGATTCTAACCCAGAATCTTGCTGCTGTCAGATGAGTTAAAAGGAAAAAAAAAATTCTCCAGCGCGTCAGACGTAGTCCGCAGGCTTTGGCGGATCAAGTTACATTCACGTCTTGAAACGGATAAGAAACTTGATTCTGCGGCTCACTCTTGTTTACTTGGCCTGATGCTTTCAAGCCGTGGGAGAAGCAGAATCCCAACGTGGGAGACATGCACCGACGAACATGTGTTCAGATTCAAAGGAGCCGAGGGGCATGGCTCTTCTTGGTGCTCTCGAGGCTTCTAGCGCATGTAAGATGCTCCATGCAAACGGGGCAATCTCTGTTTGCGTAAACGTTGACGTCCTTTCCACAAGTCAAGTGTGCGCTCTTCCTCCCACATGAGATGGAACAAGACAAAGCACCAGGGTTGGTGTCCTAACAACAGTCCAGAGAACTGGCAGCTCTGTCCACCTCTCCTAATTTATCTATTTCACAACACTGAAGTAGCGCCACTGTGTACCAGCCACCGTTCTAAGCCTTTTACGTGTAACAGCTCTTTTGATCCTTCTAATAATCCTGTGAGGTAGGTGCCAGGTGAAAAAACAGAGGTACGCATGGGACTGATTAATTTGCCCAAGGTTTGTAGTTAAGGAGGGAAGAACCAGGATCCCACCTCAGGTGGCCTGATTCTCCAGCTGGTGCCTGTTACCATCACCCTACACATGGCTGTTCACTTGTTAAATGTCTTAGGCAAATCTTTTGAGCCAAAAGTTTATTTTTTAAAAACAGACACAACTCACATTTCAGCAAATGGATTGTTGTGATGATTATAAGAGAATATTTTTTGCAACTGTTTGAATTATTTACAGATTGAGAATGAAGGATTATTGTCATTGTTTCAAGACAGTGCCACAGTGAATGTTATAGAAATTCTCTAAGGAGGTGTGTGTGTGTGTGTGTGTGTGTGTGTGTGTGTGTGTGGTGGAGGTAGGTAGGTTATGACAAGACTTTGTCAGTCTCACTCCTATTGAGTGGAGTAAAGTTAAAGTTGGTTAGGAAGGAACGAAACCTTACCGAACGGT